GTACTTGTTTCTCTTTATTAGTAAGGTTGCCTCTGCTACTACATTTTCTGGTTCGGCATAACCATCTTCGACAACGTCCTAACAATCTTGGGAACCAAGTAGCACTTTCATTTGAATACTCCAATTGCCATAGTTTGTCTTTGTCAATCTTAGGATTTATGGTTGGATCATATTGGTCATCTTCTCCACTATGTAAATTAAAACCAAGCTCGAACCAAGCTCTGGATACCACTTGTTGGAAGCATTGGTGGGCACTCGATAAACTATAACTCACATAATATTATTGATACAAACAAAATATGATACAACGACGTTACCCCGTCACTAGCTTTAGCTAGTTTACAAATAGCACACACAACTAAAGATTTGCTAAGCTACCTCACTATCTCTCGCAATATAGCAAAATAGGTTATTAACGACGTTTTTTAAGCCCTATCGCGGCGTTTTTAAGCACCGCTAAATTTTTTTGACACTTGTAAAAGCGTTGTTAAACACGTTGGTAAAGCAAGCGCCACAAAAATTAGCGACATTTGTGAACAAAAAAATTGCAAAAGGTTAAGCTTTATAGTGACGTTTTGGAAACAAATGTCACTAATTATCTTATCTATAATAGCATTTGTTTTCTAAAATGCCGTTATATGTTATGATATATAGTGGCGTTTATGGTAAAAAAACCCAACAAATTTATACGCCATTAGTGGCTTTTCGCTCACAAAATGTCGTAAAAATGTGGTTCTAGTGGTATTTGTTTACAATCATCACTATGATTAATTGATTTTGCATATATCATTTTCTACTCTACTTTGCCTAAATTTAATATCATGTAGCATTATCTAATCAACAAGAAGCTTAAAATTTAATTACAACACAAATTACATAGAAAAATACTTAACAATAAAATAAATTAAAATTTATAAACATTAAATTTAAATGTAATGTAATTTAACATTGTTCACTAGAATTTAGTTTAGGTTTTTTCTCTTTCAATTAAAAAAAACATTGTTCACTAAAATAAATAAATATTCTTCAAGGGGTAATTTTGAGCTTTAATCTACAACTTCAATTGATTAATACTCCATCAGACTTCGAGTATACAATTGGGGAATGTAAATTAGTAATCTGCAAAAGGAAATGTGCTAATTAGTTCTAGAATATGTGCAGCAAAATCAAATGATAAACGAGGTACACAATTAACTTTTCTATGTCAAAATACCCAATACCCTGAGAAATCACATCCAAACGATAGCTAATTCAACACAAAAGGACACAGGAAAATACAATAAAGCTTGAAGGAAAAAACATTGTGAAATAATAATTAATCTGCAATGCACATTATGCTTCTATGCAGTGCATCCACCCCAGAAAAAGATAGACCATGAGACTTATGGCCATTGATAAAGAAAAATTACTGGAATTTAGAGAGATCAATTGCATCCAGGACAACAAATCAAGAGTGAAATCGAAAACAAATATACATTTCCAGTAGATGTTTAGGATATGCTAGTTCCCACATCATAATAATTTTGTATCATCGTGTATTACCATAAAGACTTTGTAAAATCGTAATTGATCCATACCATCATGCAATTCCATCATATGAACTAGAACGAGCTCTGGTATGCAACAGATAAAAAGAAATCTTATTACATGTTCTACAAGCTTCAAAAAACTTCACCCACTGCTTTTGTCCTATGAATGTAAATTAAAATACATGCATGCACAAAATCAAGGGAATGCAAGAACCTTGAAAGTACAACTCCCAGTTTACCTTGAAAGTACAACTCCCAGTTTTATTTACATGACACTGACACTCGTAGGTCTTGTCCGATCCCCACTCGAGTTGCTGCAATACAAAGGAACAAAATGGTAATAAAGAAGGGCAAAGAAAGGGAAAGTAATCAATTTCACAAAGTTGAAACGGATTAGGTTCAAAAATAGAGCAACTAGAAAATAGGAACTATGTACATAAATCCCAGATTTGATCAATTACAAATGGAACCTTATAATCACTTGAGTAAACATCCAAATTACACTTGCAAAGTCCGATTTCCATACTGTCCAATTACAAGGAATAAAACATAACCATATGTTCTTCATAACCAACACCGTTTAGAACAAAATAGATCCCTCATAATTTAAAATAAACGAAACATCATGTTGCTTACAAACAGGAAATTAACATTATACCTTAAGTGGGATGCTAATAAACATATGAATATCTAAAAAAGACTCAAGAAAAGTTAATTATGGCCTAAATTTTCAGATCAAAGAATACACATACTGTAGGACCATGTGCAACCCGTGAATATGAAAGGTTTAAAATCTAGAATCTAAAATAGAAATTCATCAAAAGGGATAATCAATGAGAGAAACTTCACCTTATGAAACAGAAGACAGAGTTTGGATTAAGAAAAATAAGATTCCCTTAATAATCAAATGAAGGGGAATTGGGTAGGTTTTGAAATCAAGGGTTTTGGTTTGGAGAATAGAAAAGAGAACTTGAAAGAGGATATAGAGAAAGATTGGAGTAGGAAACCTTGTACTACGACGACTGTTCATCACCTCTATATCGGTGAGATCCCGAGATCAGAATAACGACGTTTCCAAAACTAAGATGCCAGGAATGCAGGGGTTTGAACGTTAAATATCTACACCGGAAGACACAAATAAGAGAAGTGGGGCTTCAAATCATCAAAAGCATAAGGAGAATCGGAGGCTGGAACGCGAAAAAAAAGGGTTATTTCTGACAGCAGTGTGGCTTTGTATTGGTACAAGGAAAAACGAAAAAGGATAGAGGCAAAGTTTTTTTTTTACTGTAAGGATAGAGAAGTTAAAAGGAACCCTTCGGGGTTCTAAACACTGCGGCGTTTTATTTAAAAAACGTCATTGAGTAATCCTCATTTTGGTGTTTATTACTAAAACGCCACTAAAGTATATGTTTGTAGCGGCGTTTCTATAAAATGACACCCTTTATTGATTTATTTCGACGTTTTTTCGAAAACGACACTAAAGATACCTGTCTAATGTGGTGTGTTCACTTAAACACCGCTGTTGTTTTCATTTTGTGGAGTTTTTATTATAAACCACATATAATAAAAATTAGTGTTGTTTACTCAAAAACTGTTGCTAGTGTAGTGTCGTCCTTCGGGGTTCTGAACACTACGGTGTTTTATTTAAAAAACGTCATTGAGTAATCCTCATTTTGTGGCATTTATTACTAAAATGCCACTAAAGAACATGTTTTTAGCGGCGTTTCTATAAAAACAACACCCTTTATTGATTTATTGCGACGTTTTTTCACTAAAGGTACCTGTCTGTTGTGGTGTGTTCACTCAAACGCTGCTATTGTTTTTATTTTGTGGAGTTTTTATTATAAACGCCATATAATAAAAATTAGTGTTGTTTACTCAAAAAACGTTGCTAGTGTAGTGTCATATTTTTTCTTTCACTCGCACATTATATACATTACATACTAATAACCAAATACATTTATATAATAATTAATAAACCGTCTATTTTTGCCGCCCTTAATTACTGCCTTTCTTCTCTAACGTGGTGGAGTTTCATGGTTGCCTTATCCCTTGTTTTGCCGCCCATCTTTTCTTAATCTCTAGAGTTTTCTTGTTGCAACATGGGTACTTCAATTTTGCTGCCAACACATCATAGCTGCTGCCATTTGTATTTTTATTTTTTTCCACCTTAAATGATAAGCAATTTACAAATTGCTTCAAGAGTCTTCTAGTTTTGTAAACCTTAATATGCGCTGCCACCTCATAAGAATTAAATATCAAGTTTGAATTCTAACATAATATAATTGATATCGCTTGATTCGTCAGTGTTGAATGTGGAGGAACGACAATTTGAGCATTGGGCACCAGTGACTTCATTTTGCAAACTTGGAATTGGGTAAAGATTGCAGCAGTTATACCAGGCCTTCGTTTTCTTTCTGCCTGTATTGTTCTCGGCCTAATGATATCTTTTGCATTGGTTTCTTTTTAAAGAAATCATTTTAAGTCTTGATCTTAAATTACCTCTTTTGATTCTTAGAATTTTGATTTTTTTTAATTCAACTAATTGATAGAGAAAGTATCACATGTGGTAAGTTAATATCATGTATTGTCTTTTTAATAAATTTATAAATTTTACATTTTTAATAATTTAAATATATTCATTAATATTATTTAATTTTAAATTTTAAATTATTTTTAAAAGAATTACAGAAAATGACAAAATATCTTATATTAACATTAGTAGATCTGATTTAACTTTTTCTTTCATTTGATTCAATTTAACAAAAATGATAAAAAAAAAGTTTAAAGAACTAAAACGATGTTAAAAAAATACTCAAAAAAAAGTACCCAATGGCTGAAAATGTTATCAGACCATTGTTTTTGTGTAAATGTACGGCAAGTTAGATTGTGGGTTGCAAATATTTGAAAAACATTATTTGTTTAAGTTTAGTTGTTATATTAAATAATGAATTTGAAAATAGAAACGCTCTCTCATTGAAAAAATCTAATTTTCTTTTATTCGTGTGTCGCACATTTCTCTTTTATTTTATCTTTGTTGATCGACAACAACGTCAACTTTAATATTAGTGGTCAACCTTCGATTCTTTATTATCTTTTTTCTTTATTTAATTTTCAATAAGTCTATTTCTATAACACGTTTTCATCTGCCTTTATGATACGTTTTTGTGATTGTTTATGAGGAGGATCGAGAGAAATTGGGGATTAGGGTTCATTCTTTGAGATTAGGGATTAGAATGGGTTGAGGAAATCTGAGAGAGGAGACATTAGTAATCGTGTTGTGGTTAAATTGTATTGTGTTGGTAAAATGGATTAAGGTGTTAGTAAATGGGTTTGGGTTAGTATTGGCCTAGCATAATATTCATATTGAGTTATCATAACCGTTGTAAATAAATACAGAATGTAACGGATAACCAAGAATATGAAAAATGATTTGAAAGAATTAACGTCTCTTTACTCTTTTCCAACTATCTTCTCAACTCTCTGAAATCTCAATTCTTCTCGATCATAACAATTGGTATCTAGAGTCTAAACATTGATCCATGGGGAAATCCAGGAAGATGAAACAAAAAATGGTGATAGTAATGAATCAATTACTACTGTTATTCAAGAATAACCTTCTGAAAACCAGGAAGAATTACCTTCTTGATGGGCAGAAGATAAGAACTCCTTGGAGAAAAGACTATCGATCTTGGAATCAAGAACTAAAGAAACACATGGACATGTGCAACGAATCTTGGAGTTGGTGACCAAGGCAGCGGATGGCATTGAATACACACCTGCCAGCAGTCAACAGAAATATAAAAGTAAGGTAGACGGTAAGAAAGCTACTCAGGTGACAATTATAATGACAATGAAAGGTATCCTTTTAACCCATAAGAGCCTGGTATATTATCATCAAGACCACAAATAGTAAGTAATCCTATCCTGCAAGAATCATCATTACACTCACCCATCACACCTGTAACATGCCTAAACACAATATAAAAATAATTGGCACATGAAGGAAGGGTCATCTTCAATGGAATTTGACAATCAACACATACATGTTACTAAACCTAAGATTGAATTGCCCATGTTTAATGACACTAAACCTAGAGGATGGATTAGAAAATATGAAAAGTATTTTTCTTTACTCGTAATTCCTGAATATCAAAAACTGGACATTGCTGCCATGTATTTAACAGGTTAAGCAGAAACATGGTATGATGGTTACATGATGTAAAAGAATAGAATAACATGGCAAGAATTTGTTTCAGATATTTGTCATCAATTTTGTGACATGAATTTTACTTATATTGTAGATGAATTTAATAAGCTGACACAAAAATCTACAGTTGCAAAGTATCAAGCTCAATTTGAAGAGCTACGACCACTTATGTTACAGCAGAACCCTCACTTGAGGGAAAACCACTTTATTTCTAGTTTTCTTAGTAGACTAAAAGAAGAGCTTCTTCTAAAACATAAAGTGAGAGTGCATGAACCACAACAATTGATTGAAGCTTAAAGGAAAGCAAAACTGTCTTGGAAATATCAATAAATGCCCTTAATGGAAACACAAGCCACAATACACTCAGAATCAATGGTAATATTAGAGGAAAACCTTTAAGCATATTGGTGAATAGTGGGAGTACTCACAGTTTTATTACACCAAGTTAAGCTAAAGAAGGGACAGAATTAGTTCATACTCAATCACCGCATATATTACTGTGGCTAGGGGAGAAAAACTACAAAGTACAACCAAGAGCAAACAATTAGAGTAGAAGCTGCAAGGACACAATTTCCAGTATGATTTCAGAGTTCTAGGAATAGGAGGCAGTGATATGGTATTAGGGGTGGATTGACTAAAAAATATAGTCAATTATGAATGAACTTTAATGCAATGAAATTGACATTTATAAAGGAGGACAAAGAAATCACATTACAATGAGGGCAGCAAGATTGTGCTATTAGAATGATTTTAGGGGAAAATTTTCAAAAATTAACAGCAAATGATACAGATTTAATATGGGAGACGAACTATTTAGGTGCAGAAGAAAAAATTGGCAGTGAGGTCCCTACAGTTATACAAACCCTGCTACAGCCATACTCTACAATTTTTTAGTAACCTCAAGGTTTACCACCAACTAGAAACCATGACTATTCCATTACATCCAAATTCTAAACCAGTCAATATAAGACCTTATAGATTCCCATACCATCAAAAAAAAAAAAGTAGAAAAACAAATCACTAACATGTTAGCCTCTTTCATTATATAACATAGCAAAAGCCCCTTTGCATTCCTATGCTTGTTAGTAAAAAAGAAAAATGGTAATTGGAGATTTTGTGTAGACTACAGACAATTAAACATTATTACTGTTAAAGATAATTTTATATCCCTATTGTTGAAGACTTGTTGGATGAATTATAGGAAATGGAATATTATTCAAAAATAAATTTAAGATCTGGTTACTGACAAATCATAATTAAGGAGGACGATGTACCTAAAACAGCCTTTAGAATACATCAGGGCCATTATGAATTTAAAGTGATGCTCTTTGGGCTCACTAATGCCCCAGAAACATTTCAAGCACTAATGAATGATGTTTTTGCACTCTATTTAAGAAAAATTATTTTAGTATTTTTTTGATGATATCTTACAATGCTACTCTTGCATATCGTGTTCAGCATTTACAGGTGGTCTTTCATGATTGATAAATACATCAGTTCTGTGCTAGGAAAAATTAGTGCTTCTTTGGAGTAGAATTGAGTATTGGGACATGTAATATCAGTTGGTTGGGTAGTAACAGATTCTGCCAAGATTGAAGCCATACAGAAATGAAAATTACCTACTACAAAGTATATCCTTAAGAGGTTTCTTAGGCCTAACAGGATATTACAGAAAGTTTATATAAGGATATGGAGCAATTAGTAAGCCCCTTTCTAATATGCTCAAGAAAGACAACTTCCAGTGGCCTGAGACAGCAAAAGAAGCTTTTTTGAAAACGGATGCTAGCTCAAAGGGAATTGGGGCAGTGTTATCTCAAGATAGGAGACCTATTGCTTATCACAATAAGGCTTTGGGAACAAAGAATATGGATTTTTCAATCTATGAGAAAGAGTATTTGGCTATTGTTGAAAACATTTAGATAACACTACTCCGCTACCCTAGTTCTTAGCCTTCATAAATTCAAATGAATGAAACATATAAAAAGTAAAAGTTATGGAAATTACTACAAATGTATTAAAAGAAGACAGAGATGATACACCCTATGTATGAGACCCGCACTACTCGATTACCCTGGTCTTAAGTCTCCATACTTTCCTATCAGAGGTCATGTCCTCGGTAAGAGCTAAATCCTTCAAATCAGATCTCAAGCAGTCTTCCCACTTCCGCCTTGGTCGCCCTCTCCTTCTGGCACCGTCGACTGTAATCGGCTCTACCCTCCTGACCGCATCCGACGGTTGTCGCCGAATGACATGCCCAAACCACCGTAATCTTCCCTCCCTCAATTTTTCGGATACAGACACCACCCCCAAGGACATCCTAATAGCAGAGTTTAGTGTCATATCCCACAAAATCCTACCACATGCCCATCGAAGCATTCTTATTTCTGCGGCCTCCATCCTCCTTACATGATCCTTCTTGATTGCCCAACATTCTGATCCATATAGCAGCGCTGGTCTTATTGCTATTTTATAAAATTTTCCCTTAAATTTTAGAGGCATCTTCTTATCACACAGAACTCCAGTAGTAGCCCTCCACTTTAGCCAACCCGTCTTTATACGGTGTGTAACATCATCATCTACACCCCCATCTTTATGTATCATAGACCCTAGGTACTTGAAACAATCCTTTGGGGGGAGAACGTGTCCTATGCATACTTTTACATCTTCATCATTTTGGTTTCCACTGAAGTTTGAACATAAATACTCCGTCTTTTCAATATTGATCCTTAGACTTTTTTCTTCCAAAGCAGCCTTCCAGGTAGCTAGTCTACTATTTAGCTCAGTTTTTGTTTCAGCAACTAGAACAATGTCGTCAGCGAAAAACATACACCATGGAATACCGTCTGGTGTAGCACAATAGATGTCATCCATAATCAAGGCGAAGATGTATGGGCTAAGAGCCGACCCCTGGTGAAGTCCGATTTCCACCGGGAATGCCTCGGTGTCGCCAACTGTAGTCCTGACGTATGTAGTAGATCTACAGTACATATCACGAATCGCCCGGATATAAGCAGATGGGATCCGTCTCGTTTCCAAGGTCTTTCAGATCGTATCGCGGGGAACGCTATCATACGCCTTCTCTAGATCAATGAACGCCATGTGAAGATCTCTATTTTTTCCCTATATTTCTCCATAAGCCGTCGAAGTAGATAAATCGCCTGCGTAGTAGATCTGCCTGGCATAAAACCAAATTGGTTTTCCGAAACCTTAGTAACATGTCTCAACCTAGCCTCTATCACCCTTTCCCATAGCTTCATGGTATGGCTTAGTAGTTTAATACCTCTGTAGTTGCCACAACGTTGGTGATCTCCTTTATTCTTATAGATTAGTATCACCGTAGACTCTCTCTACTCCTCTGGCATCTTGGCAGTCTCTAAAATAATATCATATCATATAAATTATGTTTCATTATAACAAAGTTAAGCAAAATATTTTTTTATGAATAGTGAACAGTACCCCGTGAACAGTGAAAACTTAGTGAGACAATTAAAACAATAAACAGTGCAATACAATTCATGCATGATTTTCAATGTCAAAATCAAAATGTCATTTAATCACGTTACTAGCATATCCAATATTTTACCATGATCATCATAATATAACATTTCTTATTAATTTACTTACTATTCATCCCATAAACTCGTAAGCTTATTTTACCAATATACTTACATTTTTTTCCATAAGCTCGTAAGCTTATTTTACCAATATACTTATCTTTTTTTCCATAAGCTCGTAAGCTTATTTTACTAATATACTTATAATTAACCTCATTTATAAATCATTATTAGAATCTATAATTTGCATAGGAAATTCATACAATTTCCTTTTAACAATAGCACTCTCAGTGCTCTATCTGGAAAATCATACGCTTAGTATGCTTCCCCTTTCATTTTGACACACGAAGTGCCCTATTCAAAAATTCATACCATTAATATAATTTCTTTATCTTTGTAGCACCCTTAGTGCTTTATATGGAAATCCATACACTCAGTATGATTCCCTTACCATTTTAACACATAAAATGCCCTATCTGGAAATCTATATTTTCAATATGATTTTTATATCATTTAGCACACTCAGTGCTCCATATGGAAAAATATACACTCAGTATAATTTCCTTAGCATTTTAGCACACAAAGTGTCATTCGGTAATCTCTATACATACATAATTAAATGCACTCACCTTGACACTTTATAATTTCCAAAATATGTGTCTCACTATTATTCACAATAAGCTCTTTTATACTTGACTTACATCAAACGCAAATCAATCTTGATCTGTATAAGTCACAAATTCATAATAATACATATGTTAGTATTGTACTAACATAAGCATATCACATAACAATTCCATAATACACTTGAACTCATTTTCTATCAAAATACTCAATACTTAATAATTCTTATTAACATTGGAACCAACTTTTCTAATTTATTCAAAATGGTCTTTTACCATTTAACTTCAATTCCAAGCATCCAAAAATATATTCAACATTTAAACATTACTCTTCATCTTCTAATCTCTTTCCACTTAAATTCTAAAATTTTCATATTCAAACAATTAGCACT